ATTGAGTTAGCTAATAGGGCATTCGCACGCGGCGATTTTACAGGCAACAAAAGTTGAATACGTAGTTGAATGAGAAGTTGAAAGTGAAAAAGTTGCCATCCCTATTCAGACGAGGCGATTTTGGATTCAACACGAATCGTTATTTACATTATTGAAAATGAATTTAAATCGCAAAATTTTATCAATTGGCGTAAATTTGGTAAGCCAAGCGTTGGTAGAAGTGCTTTTAGCGAAGCTGAAAGATAAAATAAGAGTAAAAAAGTAAAAAAGAAAAAAAGTATGTATACAGAACAGTGTTGGCATTTTTGGTACAATTGTACTTGTTTGATACAATTTCATTTACAATATACTTTCCTACTACGCAGTACTTTTTAGTAAAATTTTGTAATGAATACTAAAAATATATTGCTCTGAAAATTCACAGTTCGCCTGTTCGTATTTACCTTTGTAAGTTTTGAAAAATGGCTTGAACGAACCCGTATAACATTGCCTAGCCAAATTTTTAAAGAAACTTTTCGATACTAAGTTTTATTAAAACAAAATGTCAAAGTCAGCTTCATATAGAAACAAAGTCTTCGTTAGTTATAAGAAGAGATTTTCTTAAATATAATAACTTTACGGCACTCACATATTGACAAGGTTTTACTATTTATTTTATTATTCAATAATTTTAATTATCTGTTTATAAACTATAATGTATTCTTTAAGAAAAACTGTATAAACCCAAGATTAAATCTTTGCGAAACACCCAAAAACCAACATACTGTCGTAAAAATTTCGAGCTTTATTAATATTCTTTAGTTTTTAGCCCATTCAATTTTAGTGTAATAAAGTGCAAGTTTAAGGTAGCTGGGACTTACCGTTGAACTTGGCAATTTGGTTTGTCGACGATGTCAGCCATTTTCTTCCATACGAAGTGTGTTCGACGATTTTTTTATATGGAGGAAATTAGCAACACCTTCATCAAAGAAATCTTAAAAAACTTACTTGTATTAAAATTTAATGGGCTAAAAAACCACACACTCAAAATAAATCTAGGAAATCGAATTAAATAGATCGAAATTTTTACGAAAGTTGTTGGTTTTTTTAATGTTGCACAAAGTTTCAACCTTGGATTTGTACGGCTTTTCTTAAAATAGAAAGCGTATTTTAACAAAAAATAATTAAAATTGAATAATATTAAGATAAATGGTCAAATCTTCTCGTAAAGTTTTGATAAGCACTTGAAATTCTATTAAAATGTCAAATTTTAGTACTAAATCCAAAGAAAATGTCTCTTTTATCCATTAATAATAACTTAAATATGTTTTTGTTAAGATGTATACCTGAAAATGTGTGCATACATATTTGCGTTAAATGCAATACATGTGCACGTGGAATGAATTTGTAAAAGTGTAAAATACGTAAACGTATGTACATAAACAATAAAACGTTCTCATGAATACCATAAAATCATTGGTTTTGAAGGGAATGTACTAAGAAAATTTTTTTATTTATTGGGCACGTTTTCTGTATTTGCATTTAATTTGAGCGCAATTTCTGATGAAAAGAAACAAATCAAGGAAAAGAAATAACAAATATTACGAATTGGTAATTAAGTTAAATAATTACAGTTTTTCAGATACAAAATCGAAAGGCGACATATAAAAAATGCACGCAAGGAAGAAATGTCTGGCAACACCAGCAAAGTTTTGAGACGATTTTGCGTCGACTGCTAGAAAGGGGTGCTCACAGTTTGATGCTATAGATGTCTCAAAATGTAGACGTCTACATTTTCAGACACAATTTGGAACGAACTGTGAACACCCCAAATGTTTGTGCTGGTGGAGATGTGTGTGGTCTATGTGTTTTGACAGCCATTATCGATAAAACTTAGAGAAACAACGAATCGTTCTTGATTCGCATGTTGATTGGATCTAAATCACCTACAAATGTAGTGATTCGCTCTCAAAATTTTGTATGGCGAATTACGTGATTCGGTTCTTAATTCGGGCGCCAATCACGAATGAGAGAGCGAATCACTTTGCGTGGATACATCGTTTTAGCTTTCACGGCCAAAAACGGACGAAAGATTTCAGGGCGTTTACATAAGACTTTTGCTTCGCTTTGCTTCATAATCAATACATCATTTTATACGAGTCTTGCTAAATAGAATGCGAGGAAAGCAAAGCGAAGCAAAATCAACTGCAACTCTCAAGTTTTGCGTTCTTTGGCAATCAGCTGTCTACATGTATCTTTTCTCGTGCGCTTGCATTTGCGTTTAATGACAAAAATGAGGTAAATAGGAATTATTATTGGTATTATTAATGCATATTATTATATTTTTATCTATTTTACACGTATAAAATATGGAAGAAAATGAGAACGCAAAAGCTGTTGAAGCGTTTATTGTAGCATACCTTCTACGTTTCACGCTTTGTTGTCAAAGTTCTAACTGTCAAGCAAAGCGAGGAAAGTCTTATGTAAACTGCCCTTTCGAGAGTGGTATCAATCGACGTGTGTTAGCGCCAATAATAATAATCCGACGGCAGAGACTTACTTTTTGGTAGTAGTGCACTTAAGCTTACACGGCCAAAATTGGACGAAAAATTTCGAGAGTGGTATAATACTAATAATCCAGTGGCTCAGAATAACTTTTTTTAATAAATTAAAGAGTTATTTGCAAAAACACTTGCACTTTTCGCACTTTCTTTTGATGCATTTCACGCAAACTAAGGACTCCATTACTCGTTTTCTTCCATCTTATATGCATTAACTTCACAAAATTGTTGTGCAGAATTTTGAAGACCGGAATACTGCAAATAAATAAACAATTTTGCACATATGTTTCTCTTAATACATCACAAATGTACAAAAACAAATAATAATCATTTCTTCAATTTATTTGCGTTAAATGCATCAAAAGAAAGTGCGAAAAGTGTATGGAGGGCGTAGAGGGGGTCGAACACATCCCTGGAAACCGGACGGCGAGGAAACTCATAGTTTACGAGTCATTTGTTGTTAAAGTTGAAAATTTCACCTAACAAAATGTACGATAACAAACCATTTCAAACAAATACAAGTGTGCATAATATACATATTTCAATGAAATTAAGCTCTTTGAACGTTTATCTATTTTAGGGATGCCCAAATCAGCACATATGTGTCGCGGGCGACTGCGCGTGCAAAGCTTTGCACAGCGGTGCTGGGCAAGCGCGGAAGCAAAAAGTTATCGGAAGGGGAAAACGAAGTCAACAGAATAGTGAGATTGTATGTGTGACAGTGATGGAAAATGAGTGTGCATTGTGCCATTTTCGGCCCTTTCGGAAGCAGCCGGCACCTTCAGCACAATCGATTGATTCTCGGCTCTCTTTTTGCGTAACTCAATGCAACTAATAAATATTTCTTTCGGATCCGCAATTAAAAATATCTTTTTTTACATTTAATCGTATGTGCTTAAACTGATAAATGATATAAACATAGAAACGCAAGCAGAAGAATATCGCTTCCACATTCTACATATGCGCTTAACATTTTTGTTTAAACAATTTTGTCGAAATTTCATCTTTAAAGCAAATATTAAATATCATTTAATATATACTTTAGATTTAAATAATCATTTTTAGTGGTGGGCGAGTCCGAGATGTTTAAATGATCGAGATAGTACATTCAATTCGCTTAGATTTTGGAGAACTTTTTTCGTTGAAGGTGTTGCACTTTTTCTTCCATACTGAAATTTTTGTACATCCAATTTGTATAAAGAAAATGCAAACAAATATTAAAAATCAACATGAGTTCTTAGCTGCACTTTCACTTTATAATACTAAAATTGAATCGACTATAAAACTGCATACCGTCAGTTGGTGTCTCGAACACTCATGCGGTGAGGATGTGATCGAGCTTTTATTGATTTTATTGCCGTCAACATGCATTTTCGTAAAAGCGCTAGCACAACCTCAACAACAAAGTTATTATTAATGGATAAAACAGGCATCTTTTTGGATTCGGTAATAAGTCTTGACATTTTAATAGCATTTCAAGTGCTTATCAAAACTTTACGACACTCACATATTGACAAGATTTGACCATTTATCTTAATATTATGTATTTTGTTTATAAAAATACAGTTTATACTTAAAAAAAAGCCGTACAAATCCAAAGTTCAATCTTTTTGCAACATTAAAAAAATTAACACACTTTCGTAAAAATTTCAAGCTTTTTAATTAGATTACCTAGAAATATTTTGAGTACGCAGTTTCGTAGCCCATTCAGTTTTAATATAACAAAGTCTTTTAAGTTCTTTTTTGATAAAGCAGTTGCTCATTTTCTCCATATAAAAAAATCGTCAAACAAACTTCGTATGGAAAAAATTACTCATATCAACAAAAAAAAAAAATAAAAAATTGCCTAAAATCAGCGGTAAGTCGCAGCTACTTTAAACTTGCAATTTACTCTACTAAAATTGAAAACCTCGAATTTTTACGAAAGCTTCTAGATTTTTTTAATGTTGCACAAAGTATTAAACTTGGATATCTGCAGATTTGTTAAAGAACAAATTACATTTTTATAAAAAATAAATAAAATTCAAAAAATTAATAAAATAAGTAGTAAAATCTTATCAATATGTGAGTGACGTAAAGTTATTATATTTAAGAAAATCTATTGTTTTAATAAACGAAGACATTTTTTCCATATGAAGCTGATTTCGACATTTTGTTTTAATAAAGTTTAGTATCAACAATATTCTTTCAAAATTTGTAATGTAAAGCTGATAGCAGACCTTAGCTATATTATAATGGTTCCTTCAAGTCATTTGTAAGTTTTTCAAAACTTACAAAGGTAAATACGAAAAGGCGAGAACAAAAAGAGAATTTTTAGAGCTGTAACATTGGATAAAATAATTTCATTTGGCTAATTTTCGGAGTCGGTAATACAACCCTGCTCCTACTAGTATAAGTAAATTATTGTAATGCAACCGTGTAAAGAAAATGAATAAAGAGAAAAGGAGGAAGATGGCGGTCACTTCTTTTGGGCGAAAAAAGAGAACACACGCATTTAATAACTTAAAATTAAATCCGCGGTAATCCGCCAGCTAAATACGAGGTAAACTACAAATTTACAGCTCAGGTGTTGGGTTATTACCCTGATCATCGAATTTCATTAATACATTCCAACAATCACGAAAAATGGCCAACCCACGCAAGCAAGCCACGACGCAACAGCTACGTAAACTTCTGCTAAACGTAATGGGTGATAATAGGAACACCACTACCTTTGCCGATACCGCTGATGCCGCATTTACTGCCTCAACCAACACTGCCGGCACCATTGCCGACATTGCCGTCACCGCTGCCACCAACGCAGATATCGCCGCCACTGCTGCCACCAACGCTGCCATCAGTACTACTAATGCTGTCGTCACCACCGCTTATACCGCTACCACCAACGCTGCCGTCACTATCACCGCCGCCGCCACCGCTGATTCCACCACCACCACCACCGCTTATACTGCCTATTCCACTGCCGATACCGCCGTCTCTATCGCCAATAACACTGCCGCTCTGGTATCTGAGAATGCCACCGAAATAGTACTCACTGATCTAGACGCAGAAGTGAAGGCCCTTAAAAAGCGCTTGGAAATACTTACGCTACGCAGACAGATAGAAGAACTGGAGCGCCCTCCCAATAGTAGACGTCAAGGTCGCCTGGAATTCGGCGATATTGAGCACGCTCTGCCTAAATTTAATGGCGACGACGTAACCTATCACGTTCGCCATTTTCTGCGAGATATTGAGAAAATAATGGAGTCCTCAGACGACAATATTCGCTTGCTTGCCCTGTGCCGGTCCCTAACAGGTACAGCGAGGGTATTTTTATCGACCACGGCCTCCTTAAATTACCAGGCGCTAAAAGCAGCGCTATCAAGCGAATTCGACGTGGGAATCACAAGGCAAGAAGTGTACAAAATGCTGTCGCAGCGATGCTGGAAGAGGAAAGAGAATACGCTCCACTGCTACACGATAACCATGCAGGCCATTGCGAAGCGTGCTAATATCGCCGATACGGAGCTGATAGACTTCATAATAGACGGCATCGGGAACACTACCCCGCATGCCCACGTCCTGATGACGGCACGAAGCGTAGAGGAATTAAAAACCCTTATAAACCGGTACCAACACAAATATTTCGAGACCGGGGCGGTGCAGCCATCTAACCAGCGGCAGACAAGGGCGCCGAAACAAAGTGACGATTTGAAGCTGAAGTGTATCAACTGCTCCCGGAACGGGCACATAAAACCAAACTGTCCATTCCCACTAAGACCGGATGGTTCCTGCTTCAGGTGCTGGAAGATGGGCCACGACCATCGCTCATGTCCAAATCCAGTAAAGCTTCTGAAAAGACGCGAAGTAGCCACTGTTGCCGAGGATGAAGACGACCAACCAGGTGCAATTGGCGCTTTTAACTCTGTGAGTATAGCTTTTAAGACACTTACGGTTCCAATTACTTATAAAGTACCCTCTCTTTTCGATACTGGCAGTCCGATTAGTTTTGTAAAGGCATCACTGGTCCCAAAACAACTAGGGAAAAAACATATGGTTGATAGAGGCCCCAGTTATAAAGGCATCGGTGGAAGCAAAATTAAAATACTTTATAAAATGAAATGTACTATTGAATTCTTGAACAAAAAAAAANAGGTCGCCTGGAATTCGGCGATATTGAGCACGCTCTGCCTAAATTTAATGGCGACGACGTAACCTATCACGTTCGCCATTTTCTGCGAGATATTGAGAAAATAATGGAGTCCTCAGACGACAATATTCGCTTGCTTGCCCTGTGCCGGTCCCTAACAGGTACAGCGAGGGTATTTTTATCGACCACGGCCTCCTTAAATTACCAGGCGCTAAAAGCAGCGCTATCAAGCGAATTCGACGTGGGAATCACAAGGCAAGAAGTGTACAAAATGCTGTCGCAGCGATGCTGGAAGAGGAAAGAGAATACGCTCCACTGCTACACGATAACCATGCAGGCCATTGCGAAGCGTGCTAATATCGCCGATACGGAGCTGATAGACTTCATAATAGACGGCATCGGGAACACTACCCCGCATGCCCACGTCCTGATGACGGCACGAAGCGTAGAGGAATTAAAAACCCTTATAAACCGGTACCAACACAAATATTTCGAGACCGGGGCGGTGCAGCCATCTAACCAGCGGCAGACAAGGGCGCCGAAACAAAGTGACGATTTGAAGCTGAAGTGTATCAACTGCTCCCGGAACGGGCACATAAAACCAAACTGTCCATTCCCACTAAGACCGGATGGTTCCTGCTTCAGGTGCTGGAAGATGGGCCACGACCATCGCTCATGTCCAAATCCAGTAAAGCTTCTGAAAAGACGCGAAGTAGCCACTGTTGCCGAGGATGAAGACGACCAACCAGGTGCAATTGGCGCTTTTAACTCTGTGAGTATAGCTTTTAAGACACTTACGGTTCCAATTACTTATAAAGTACCCTCTCTTTTCGATACTGGCAGTCCGATTAGTTTTGTAAAGGCATCACTGGTCCCAAAACAACTAGGGAAAAAACATATGGTTGATAGAGGCCCCAGTTATAAAGGCATCGGTGGAAGCAAAATTAAAATACTTTATAAAATGAAATGTACTATTGAATTCTTGAACAAAAAAAAAGAAATTGAATTAAATGTTATTGAAGACAAAAGCATAAATTTGCCAGTTATTTTGGGATTGATTCCTCGATTGGGATGATTTCATCAATAAGTTTAACATTTGTCTGACTAGCACAACAGATAAGTCCACTAAGGAAAAATTGCTCGAAATAAGAAATGTGTTCACCATAGCTTGTATAAGTCTGAGAAGTTCGTAAATGATCCCAACGCACACTCGGCCGTGATGAAATTAAACGAATTAAAATACGCTAAAGATCAAGACGTAACGGTACGCGACGTTACCATTGATTGCCATAATAAGCCTGACGACGTATCTGCCGTCGTTGACGTACGTGCCGCAGCTGATGTACCTGTTGCCGTTGACGTACCTGCCGCCGCTGACGTACCTGAGAAATTTTGCATTGACGTTCCTCACGGTGGAAACGACATAGACATAGGCACTAGACTGACCGGTAATCAAAGGAATGACTTGGAACGACTTACCGTTAAGACATATCTTAACCCGGAAGTGACACCCGAACCATTTAAATACAAAATGAAGATACACTTGACGACTGACGTACCTTTCCATTGCGCGCCCCGACGACTTTCGATCGCTGAGAGAAACCAAGTACAAACTATCATTGATGAGCTCTGCAGAGATGGAATAATAGCCTAGTGCTGGTTAAGAAGAAGAATGGAAAGGTCCGAATGTGTGTAGATTACCGAGCATTAAACAAATTGACTGTTAGGGTTAATTACCCTCTGCCGCTAATCGATGACTGCATAGAATATCTGGAAAATAAACGTTTCTTTTCCGTATTGGATTTAAAAAGTGGTTTTCACCAGGTTCAGATGGCTCCTCAATCAATTCCCCTTACCTCCTTTGTGACCCCTAACGGTCAATATGAATAGTTGAAGATGCCGTTCGGGCTGAAGAACGCTCCCGCTGTATTTCAGCGTTTCATTAACAACATCTTCCGGGACATAAACGATAGCAGTAAGGTTATCATTTACATGGATGATATCATCATTGCGACCGAAAATTTTGATGAACACAAAGACCTGCTAAAATTAGTATTAGAGCGACTTACCTTTAGAGTTTAGGAACTCAACTTAGATAAATGCAGGTTTGGGTATGATGAAATCAATTATTTAGGATATGTGATGTCACACTCAGGTATATTACCCAATGATTCCCACATTAAGAGCATACAAAATTTCCCGATTCCAACGCATGCAAAACAACTACAATCCTGCTTTGGCATGTTCTCATATTTCCGCAGATTTATACCGTCCTTTTCGCAAATTGCAAAACCATTACAAAACTTCCTTAAAAGAAACTCACCATTAGACTTTGACGAGAAGTGCCTTGATGAATTCACTGAACTTAAGTCCCGCCTAGTTAAAAGCCCAGTGTTGGCTATATTCAATTCACTTCGGGAGACTGAGGTCCATTGTGACACTAGTAGTGTAGGTTTCGGTGCAGTATTGCTGCAACGCCAAGACGAAAATAAGTTCCACCCGGTCTCATACTTCTCTAAAACTGCCTCAAGTGCCGAGTCGAAATATCATAGTTTTGAACTGGAGGCATTGTCCATTATATATGCACTTAGGAGGTTTAGGACATATCTAGAAGGCATACGCTTCACCATAATAACCGACTGTAACTCATTGACGATGACACTCGAAAGAAAACAACTGAACCCCCGGATAGCTAGGTGGGTTCTTGAGCTCTAAAATTATAATAATAAAATAAAATATAGAAAAGGGGCTTCAATGGGTCATATTGATGCCCTCAGTAGGAGGCAGGTAGCGCAACATGTAAACACGGATGACGTGGAATTCCAAGTACAGGTTGCCCAAGAGCGGGATAAAAACATTGACTCCTTACGATGCCGATTAGAAAATGAAGACGATAAAGACTATAGCTTGGCAGACGGATTGATATACAAGGAGAAGAATAACGGTAAGATAGCTCTGTATGTGCCCAACCAAATGGAGCACAACGTGATACAAGTAATTCACGAGAAGGTGGGTCACCTATCAGTGGAGAAGATCCTTAGTAAGCTGAAGCTATATTACTGGTTTCCAAACATGCGACCAAAAGTTGAAAAGTAGGTTAGGAATTGCCTGAAGTGCATAATGTACGCCACTCCGCATCATGCAAAAGAAAGGACTATTCACGTTATCCCTAAAACCCCTTTGCCGTTCGACACTATCCACGTAGATCACTTTGGACCACTGCCGTCAATTAGGTCAAAGCGTAAGCATTTCTTAGTTGTTGTTGACGCATTCACTAACTATGTCAAGCTCTATCCAACTAACTCAACTAGTACTCGAGAAGTCACGGCGGCCCTCGACAAGTATTTTAGCTATTATAGCAGGCCGAGACGAATCATCAGCGATAGGGGCACTTGTTTCACTTCTCTCGAGTTTAGATCATTTTTATTGAGACGAAATATAGGGCATGTGAAGGTTGCCGTGGCATCTCCACAGGCCAGTGGACAGGTGGAGAGAGTGAATAGGGTACTAAAATCCATGGTGGGGAAGTTGACGGACCTTATTAACCATGATGACTGGGTTAGGAAATTACTTGAAGTCGAATACGCTATTAATAATTCGGGGCACAGTACTTGCCGTGACACCCCGAGCCGACTCCTGTTTGGTGTTGAGCAGCGAGGTGTGATAATTGACGAGTTTATGGAATACTTCCAGGAGAAACTATGCCCGGACGAAGGACGAGACTTGGACCGCATACGTAAGAACGCATCTGACTCAATCATTGCTAGACAAGAGTACGATTCCGCGCGAAGCGCGAAGAGTAACCGCCAAAGTAAGGCATATGACGTAGGAGACTTTGTAGTCGTGAGAAATGTCGATACTACTACAGGAAGTAACAAAAAATTCGTGCCTCAATACAATACGTAGTGCATACGGAACTTCCCTATGACGGTGTGATCGAGGCCCATCGAATGAGAACGTGGCGGCAGCAACCGGAAGTGTGGGTTGAGGATACAGATCAGGACCCATTAGCGATTAGTTGAGTGATTTTATTCTGATCGAGGCCGATCATGTGTCAGGTTTGGCCGAGTTGTAACATTGGATAAAATAATTTCATTTAGTTAATTTTCGGAGTCGGTAATGCAACCCTGATCCTACTAGTCCAAGTAAATTATTGAAATGCAACCGTGTAAAGAAAATGAATAAAGAGAAAAGGAGGAAGATGGCGGTCACTTCCTTTTGGGCGAAAAAAGAGAACACGCGCATTTAATAACTTAAAATTCAATCCGCGGTAATCCGCCAGCTAAATACGAGGTAAACTACAAATTTACAGAGCCATATATTTTTAGTATTCATCACAAAATTGTACTAAAAGTACTGCGTAGTAGCAGAGTATATTGTAAACGAAATTGTATCAACAAAGTACAATTGTACCAAAAATGCCAACACTGTCTCGCTGTTTTGGCAAAATGTAGTTGTGTGCGTGAGCCAATCGCTGACATACATTCACATCAGTGCTGATATTTAAGATTTTTAAATTGTACCAAATTAGTGACAAAAAGTGTAACTTTTGGAGCTTGATTGTACTTTTCACCATTTCCGTCAATGCATTACCTCCCTTTTCCCGTAACCAAACAAAACCCATTTTGTTGTCTACTGCAGTGTGTTTATTGTTCAATTCATTGTCCGGCTTCAGTTAGTATAGGCTTAATTTAACGTAACTTATCATTGAGATCTCTTCAGCTGGCCTATAAATTCATAGCCTGTATTGTCCGAAAGTCCCACTAAGTTAAACTAAGTTTCATTCAGCTTAGAGTTTAATTTAAATTATACACAAATAAATTCTTGAAATATATTTCACATTTTTAAAAGTACACCCCGCGACAAAATGCTACGGTCACCTGGTTTGGGCAATTTATTATATTATATATGATTGTCTAACAAAAACTATACATATAAAGCTTAATTTAAAATATTGGAATAGAAAACAACAACGCTACACGCGCATTCATCCATATAACATAAAATGCGAACGTTCGTTATATGGAAGAAAGTGCGCAACACCGCAAACAGAAAAATTCAAGAAATCAATGGTATTTTTTAGACACTTCATACTTGCACCTTATTGTACTATAATTAATGGATGGGCTACAAAAAGGTTAACCTAAAACATGTCTACAATTTCTGAACAAAAACTGTGAAAATTTGATGAAACTTTGTTGACTTTTTTCAATCTTTCAAGTTTGGATTTATTTGCAAGGTTTTTGTTTGACAATGAGCTACAATTTTATAAAAAATAGTTGAAATTTTTTAATATTTTTATTGAGCTTTGTACCACGATTGTTTATTAGGAAAAATTGAAAAAGCAACAAAGTCTAAGCGGTAGAAGTTATAGCACTATTTCGGAGATCACCACATCTCCTCATCAGACTTCTTTTT